CAGGTACCCCTATCCACCTTCCCACTCCCCCTCCTTCCCTCCATCTCCCTTCCTCCCGATCCTCCCTCCGCTCCTCTCTAACACCCGCGCTTAATATGTTGCTCTCCATCACTCCTGGAACTCACCCGTGGGATTCGCCCTCGTGGTGGGGGGGATACAAGGAGTGGGAGTACCAAAGTTGCGCAGAACCCAGCCAGACATTAGCTCCCGCTCGCACCATTGCGCAGCTCTTACGTACATAAACCCGTCGCGGCCACCTATGTACTACATATGTATTATACTTATTATTTTAATCATGATTTATGAGCGCGGCGTTGCCGGTTCTCGCGCTCCGGGCACGCCCATTCCCTCTCTTGTCTCACTTTTCAGCCATATATACGAATACATAGAAACGCGCGCGCGGAATAGCAACGTCGCTTGATCGATACTTGAGAAACTTGCAATAAAAAAAAATGACTATCGTGAATACGTTTCTTCGAAGGTCCTGTGCGTAACTATGTAAGTTATATTTTCTGTTTTTTTTATAAGCGTCCAAACAATTTAAATAATTTTCAAATTATGTGTATGTGGAATACGTATGTGTGATCGAATACGAGTGTTTATTATTTATTCAACAATACATTTCAAGTTTATTAAATTATATAGAAAGCTCTCTATTATGTACAAAACAATAGAGTATAACACGTTAGAAATATATGGTTGATTAGGTCATATCGCATCGAGAGGACTGCGACGTTGCCGTTGCGGCCTTGATAACATAGGTTTACTGCGTCGCACGTTGGGCCAGTCGTTTTGGCAACGCTGGAAAGCCATTGCAATCTATTTATAGCAGCCCTCTATCGTCGCTGCTGTTGCTATGCCGAACAAAAGGCATATTTGGTTCAGGAGGAGGGAGACAAAAGTAGGGTGGGAACGAATAGAGTGGGGAGGAGGAGAAGATTGGAGATGCGAAGAAGAGGAGAGGAGGGGTTACTAAAAGCACAATATGGCGGCGGGGAAATGGATATATTCTCCTCTAATCTATCTACGCGTTCTGCTATAACTCGGCTTCCTCTATATCCTATTTTCTCTCGCTTCCTCTTTCACTCTTCGGTCCTCTATCACCGTGCGATAGTAACTTGTCCTATATTTCCTGTACTTTACGAAAGTACGACTATGACGGACAGTAGTTACGCAACGCGCGGGAACTCTAGTATGCGCGAGTGGCGCATACTAGCCGGATAGCATTTCGCAACGGAACATTAATAAAGTGTATTTCCTTCTCGCGGCCGACAAAGAGAGCCGGCGGAGACTAGATGAAGGTCACGCTGTTCGCACCACTTTCCGTTTCTCCTTCCGTGGATGATCGCGGAAAGTAAAATAGAGCAAAGTAAAGAGAGCAAAGGTCGCGCGGCCGGAAAACGGCCGTGTCTCGTCCATCCCTCCATCCTTTACGCACGCGTAATTCTTTCTTTTTTTTCGCGCAGCTCGCGCAAAATTGCATATGGCGCCGTTCACTCGTAGCAGCTGACGAGTTTCGCGGTACACCGCGCGCTCCTACGCGGCGCTGAGAACCTGCGTGCGACTTGCGCGAGATGTAGCGCGCTTGCCACGAACGGCCCTCGGCGATGCTCGGCTGTCTTCGGCGGAACTTGCCTCTTTGTTACATCACTCCTCGCTCCTTATGTAGTACATAGGGGGCGGATACATTATGTATCGCGCGCGCGCGCGGCGGGGGCTGTACATCGTCCCTCCCACTCTCACGTCGGTTGTACATAACGCACACATA